TTTTTTTGTCGGGGATGAACGCAGCCCTGTTCTTGATAATCTGCTGTGAAAACGTGGGAAAAGCTGACGAGGAAGAAGTTGGGTGATGCGATCTTTATATCGGCGGAGCAAAATACTTCATCGCTCTGTCTATAGCATGATTTCTGAAGATCATGTGACACTGAAGACTGGAGTAATGATGCTGAAAATACAGCTGCGCATCACAGAAATACATTACAGCTTAACAGATATTCACATAGAAAACCGTTATTTTAAATTGTAATAATATTTCACTGTTTTACTGTATTTTTGATCAAATAAATACAGCCTTGATGAGTAGAAGAAACTCAAAAACTGTAAAAATTCTTAATTATTCCAAACAAATATAACAATTTTTATAGCAACAAATATTAGACGATATTTGGTGAAATGTAATTAATAATATGGTGAAATATAAAAAAAAAATAAAAATTGTTTTTTTGAATCATTCAGTATAGATATCCCGATAGCTTCGACTGCACAGGAGTGTGTTACAGTAGTTGTATGTGTGTGTGATGTGTGTGTGCAGGTGTGTCAGAAGGTGGGTGAGATCTCTCTGCTGAAGCAGCAGCTGCGGGATAGTCAGGCCGAGGTGACGCAGCGGTCCGGAGAGATGGTGGCGCTGCGAGGGCAGCTGAAAGACCTCAACGCTCAGCTGAGAGAGCGAGAGGAGGCCGAGATCAGCCTCAAAGAGTCCTTCTGCACCAAAACCCTGGAGCTGGAGCGCTGCGAGGCCGAGCTGCAGACCATGCTGGCCGAGGTACCAACACTGAATCTAAAAGCATCACTGCAACACAGAAATGATGTTAGATGTGAGTTGAAGTGATGATGTAGACATCATAAAAAAATTTACAGATAATAAACAGACAAACATCTGTACATTATGATGTTCTCACTGCAACAAACAAACAAATGTGACCCTGGACCACAAAACCAGTCTTAAGTGTCAATTTTTCGAAATTGAGATGTATACATACATATTTGGCTGAGATACAACTATTTGAAAATCTGGAATCTGAGGGTGCAAAAAAATCTAAATATTGAGAAAATCATCTTTAAAGTTGTTCAAATGAAGTTCTTAGCAATGCATATTACTAATCAAAAATTAAGTTTTGATATATTTACGGTAGGAAATTTACAAAATATCTTCATGGAACATGATCTTTACTTAATATCCTAATGATTTTTGGCATAAAAGAAAAATGTATAATTTTGACCCATACAATGTATTGTTGGCTATTGCTACAAATATACCCCAGCGACTTAACACTGCTTTTGTGCTGCAGGGACACATATTTCCAGAGATCTTCTTACTATAGGGAGATGAGAGGGTCTGTATTACGTACTATTGGAGAAAGCGTAAAGGCTAACTCAGAACCAGGCTCTGGAGGAGCGCGTGGACAAGCTGGGAGCCCAGATCGCCTCGCCGTTGCCCCCAGAGCCTCCCGTGTCCGTCTCCATATCCCTGAGCTCTCCCACCCCGCCGGCGGAGGAGAAGAAACTGCCGGAGATGCACCAGCTGGCTCCGCCGTGGCCCGTGCCGACCCGACTGGAGAGGATCGAGTCGACGGAGATCTAATGCATCCCTGATTACAACTGCATTCAGTACAATCCAAAAACTGAACTGCTTCCGAGGACTGTCCAAGGATGCCCTGCTAGTCTGGGGCAGGTGTGTGGGTTGAGGGCAGGTTCGTTGGGTAGTTATGAGAGCGTGTGTGTGTGTGTGTGGCCTTATCAGGAGGAGGTCAGTTGCCAAGCGGAAAACACTCAGGGGATTCACGGACTGTTTCAGCTTCGTGTTTTTACAGGCTCGCGAGGGTTTAGGCGATTAAGAAGTCACCATCATTCCTAGGAATGTCCTTGTGTGATCACGGCATCTTCTGTACTCTGCAGCATTCAAACAATCAAAACTAGAGTCACCAGACTAAAACTGCAGGGAGTTTCTCTTAAAGTGAAGATCTCACATGGTGCTCAGACGCAACATGCGACGCGTTTAGGACCAAATCTTAGTGCTAGTCTCGAGAGTGTTTATGTTGATGTTCGTCGGGCCGCAGAAAGTACACAGAGGTGCAGAACAAACTAAACAGATTATTCAAAAGATTTGATGCTTTTGAAAGAAGTCTGTTTTGCTCAGCAAGGCTGCATTTAATTGATCAAAAATACGGTAGAAAATGTGAAATATTATTACAATTTAGAATAGCCAAATGTTCTATGTGAATAAAAATGTATTGCTGCGACGTCATTATTGTAGTCTTCAGTGTCACATGATCCTTCAGAAATCATTCTACACTCTGAAAACAAATGCTTTGGCTCAACAAAATAAAGTAATGCAGTAGTTTGCATGAATGTTTTTGAGTTATGACAACTTGTAGCAAAATTACATTCACCAACAAACTACATTAAGTTAGATAATTTGTAGCATAAACACAATTTTTTAATTGATTACTCAAAAATATTTTGTTACAATTAATTTCAACACATCTGCTATCCATATCTAAATCTTATCTATTTTATTTTTTTAAGAAGGGTCAGCTGATGCAGACATTTCAGTTTAAATGACATGCAATATTAAATATTTTATATTTCATAAATTTTACATTTCAGTTTAAATTACATGCGGTATTCAGCTATGTAATCAGAATAAAAAGATCAATTAACACAGAAAGTTCTATTTAAATTACACTCAATATTAACGATGTAATACAAATTTAAAAATCAATGCAGAAATTTAAATTACACTCAATATTAATGATGAAAAAAAAAATGAAAAGCAGAATATTAAATTGATGTAATAAAAATAGAAACTTCAGTTTAAAGTACAATCAATATTAAGTTGATGTAATGATCCAGATTATTATGTCAGCAGTTTAAATTTTCATGGAAACCATCATAATTTTATTTTTTAGGATTCACAGATGAATAGGAAGTTAAAAAGAACAGCATTTATTTAAAATATAATTTATTTGACATTATAAATGTCTTTACTGTCACTTTTGATCAATTTAAGGCGTCCTTGATGAATAAAAGTATTCAATCGTACTGACCCTGAGCTTTTGAATGGTAGCGTATCAGACTCAGAATGCATTGTTGCGACGCATAATGAATTGCTCTTCTCAGAATACAGTGAAATGAGCTGTTGTTTGCATCCGTGTGCTTGTATAGAGTATGTTTGGAGTGTGGGACAGAGGAGCGCTCAACCCTCCTGCTCTATTGCCCAAAGCAGCGGCGGAGGACGTGTATTCATTTCAACTCAGAACGTACTGTATCACCTGAATGTTGTTTTTGCCCTTTTCTATGTTTTGAGCTACGTAGAGTAAACTAGAACGAAACAATAAGTCAATATGTTAGTGCACCTGTCGCTTCGGTCTCAGACCATCCTGCTTTTAAACTGAGGACTCGGTTGTTGTGAACAACAGCTACTGAATGAGGTTTGGTTGATGAAGCTGCTAGACTTATGGACAGCGGCTGAGCCAAAACTGTGCAGAGGGCGACGGGTCGATCTGGAATGAGTCAACGGATTATATTTAAATATGACTTTGCATTCTTCCAAAAAGAGCATATAATATGTGTCAATGTATGCTTCCTGAAAGTATCATTTAGAATATTTCACTTTAAAAATGTCATATGCAGTAGATTGATTTAAATGTGTTAAAGTAAGTGCAGAGTGCACAGAAATCACGTGGAATATTTGAAGGGTTTGTGAAGACTGAGATTGTTATACGACGCGTACTGTTTCTGCAGTGTGTATATTCTGTCGTATACAACAGCGCACACTCGGCTCGATACTGTTTCCCACAATGCAAAGTGTATGGACTGACTTTGCATTAACAGTGTGATGACTGAATGGGAAATTTGGTCAAAATGCAAAATCATTGTGACTTTTTTTTTTCATCTCAATTCTTGCCGTTTTTCTTGCAGTTGCGAGTTTAAATCTTGCAAACCTGACTTTTGTCCTTGCAATTCTGAGAAAATTAAGAATTACAAGATTTTAATTATGAGATATAAAGTAATTATTGCAAGATGTAAAACTTGCAGGAAAGTCTGAAGTCCTTTGAGATATAAACTTGCAGTTTGCAAAAAAAAAAAAAAAGGGTAATTGCAACTTTTTATCTATTTATATAAATGGACTTTTCTTGCAATTCTTTTCTCAAAATTGCAATGCATGACGTCAGAAATTGTGAGATTATCAATTGAAAATGTGAAAAACAGTTGAAAATGATCTTTAACGTATCTTACAATTCTGACTTTTTTCAGAACTGAGAGTTATGACTGAATTGTGAGATATAAAGTCATTAACGTGAGACGAAATGTCAGAATAGCGAGATATAAACTTGTGAGAATTGTGAAATATAAAGTAACAATTCTGACTTTTTTCAGAACTGAGAGTTATGACTGAATTGTGAGATATAAAGTCATTAACGTGAGACGAAATGTCAGAATAGCGAGATATAAACTTGAGAATTGTGAAATATAAAGTCATTATTGCGAGATATAAACTAAAAATTGTGATGTATAATCTTGCAGTACAAATTTTTATTTGCAATTCTAGCAATTTTGACTTTTTATCTCACAATTCTGATATTTTTCTCGCTCAGAATTGTGAGATACGAATTCAAAATTGTGAGAAAAAAATAGTCAAGCTAACTATGACTTTTTATCGTACAATTTTGTCTTCTTTTCCCAGTTGCATGTTTACATCTTGCAATTCTGAGAAAACGAAGAATTATTATTATTGCGAGATATAAACTCCAAAGTATAAAATATATAATAAACTCATAATGCAGAGATAAAAAGTCAAGCTCGTTTCTGCCACGGAATAAAAAAATTATTTATTTTTTCTCGCAATTACAAGTTTGGGTCCCACTTTATATTAAGTGTCCCTAATACCTGTGTACTTACATAGTAACTAGATGTGTACGTAGTATGTAACCACAGTGTAAGTACACATTGCTACATAGTATCTACAGCTGTAATGTTTGTGTAACTACACACTGAATGGTATGTGTAAATACAAATGTGTAACAGGACATTGGTAACAACACTTTTTGGTAATGAAAGTGTTACACTTTATATTAAGTAAACAATTCCTATGGATTTATCATGTAATTACTCTGATGTTACACAGCAGCAGCCAGTAAGTTAGGCTTTACATATAAATTGTGGTTGGTGTCCAGAATGTTACACTTTATATTAACTCCTCCCACTTTACATATCCCTAAACCTACCCATCTCCACCCCCTGGATTAAATTGTTCCAATTATTCTTATACATATTGTTGTTACAAAATGTAGTTATATATGTCCTGTTACACATTTGTACTTACACAAACCATTCGGAGGGTTGTTACATATGTGTAGTTACACAAACATTACAGCTGTAGATACTATGTAGCAATGTGTACTTGCACTGTGGTTACATACTACGTACACATCTAGTTACTATGTAAGTACACAGGTATTAGGGACACTTAATATAAAGTGGGACCCACGTTTGTATTTATATTAAAACAGTTCAAATTGTGAGATTTAAAAAAAATCGCACTTACCTTTTTAATTTCTTTATTCTGTTGCAGAAGTAAGCGTCCGTAGAATGCCACGTGCACTGTATACTCACTATTTTAAAACAAATTACACATTAAGCGTCTTATGAATAAAAACTGCTATGTTGCTTTTTTAATACAAATCTGTGTAAAAGCATGTAATCAAATCAAGAAGGATTGTATGAGGACGGTTCTGTCATCACACTGGAAATAGACGGTTAAGCGTGCAGTATGTAGTATGCAGTGTGCAGTATGCAGTGTGCTCTCTTGTATAGAAACAGCACAAGTCGTATGCTTGAATGTTTTTCCGAACACGGCCAGATAACAAATGCACTACAAGCTCTGACGAGGGACAAACGCTATTGGTAGCATTTTACAGAACACCTTTTGTCACAAAGTCTTGAAATAAGCTACAGAAGTTATTCCATTGAACCAAATCGAAGACTTTCACTGATATTTCTTTAACACAGCCACCCCGTGAGAGAGATTCCTCTCTTTTGCATATCGGAAACAAGCACAAACAAGCGATTAATTTCCCTCAACTGTAGAAATGCAATAGAAAGGTTGACGTGGAGCATCTCTCCCAGCGCTCGTGCGTCTTCTATTCTATCATGCCTTATTTGAGATAATCATTGCAGCTTTATGACACTAGGTGTTACGAGAGAAAGCCACACTGTCTCTGCTGTCTTCGGCCACATTTGCTGCTATGTGCTTCTGTTGTGTTCTTGGTAGAGACAAAGGCAGTCGACTGCATGTAAATATCACTGTTCCTTATGTGTACAGAACTATTCTATCCAAATATACCGAGCTAATGCGTGTAATGAGACTGACATGTCAGCTTTTATTTTTCAAAAGTATTAATATAGGAGTATAATATACATATATGAATCTTAAAACCTTCGATCGGTTATATTACGGTAAAGTCATACATTCGAGAGTCCGGTATGTCTTCTTTTCCCTTTTCTCGATCAGTTTTTGTAAACATTTCATTTTTTCCCTTTCGTTCTATTTTCAGAATTTGCGTGAGAAGAGCATATCTT